CGTTTTTAGGGCGCGAGAGGCGAGAGCCGCCCTCGTCGTTCAGCCGCCGCGGGACTTTGAGGGGCAGCTGCGGGCTCTGCAGCCTTGTCATACTTCTCTGTGATACGGCTGGGGAATTAAGTCCTTCGACGAGCCCAGTGCATAACTTAGGGTTTGTTCTCCGTAGATTGGTGTGGAAGCCACTGATAGTCTGAAATAAAAAGGCCATCAGTGTTCACCTCCTTCGTCCATGCAATGCCGTGGATGGGGAGGGAGGAAGAGGAAACGCAAGTTTCTCCACATGGGCGTTGAAGTTCTTGGAGGGCAAATGTGATGCCTTTCTAAAGGCTGACGAATTCTCCTGTACGTGAATGTTGAAACAGGTAAGGGACGGTGTGGCTACCTGAGAGGCCAGAGGCGCCATTAAGTAGTACTACTTGTTTACAGTAATGATACGTTGCCAATCCAATGGGCAGTTTTGAATGATGTTCAAGAATCAACAGCCTTCAAGAAATACTTTTATATCCGTGCAACATATGCATTTTTATTGCTTGAGCTCAATCATTATTTGCACTAGGAAAAGAAATAAGCATAGTTTATCGATTTCCATAACTTGTGCTTAAAGCCCAGATGGACATACCTAAGATTAAACTCCATTGCATAGAATGGGATTTACTCCTGAATAAATATCCATAGGATTAGTTTACTTTTATATTGGTTGAGGGGTTGTACCTTTGCTTTTTCACTCTTAGGAGCCCAAATTAGTTTCTCAGTTTGTATAAGCATTTAAATATTTATATTTATATTTATATAAAAGAAACAATGGTTCAGTAACCATCCTACTATGCTTGGAGTATTTTCATAACCCTGGTGTTTTAGTCTGTGCACAAAGCAGAGTGATCTTCCTGCTGTTCTCCAAGATACGTTGACTCCTAGGAGTAGTGGCAGCAATCCCTTTAATCTATTACATGAACACAGAGATAGTATCTGTAAAGTGGTGCAGGGCGTTTATGGTATAAGAAAAAAAGAGAGTTCCTGGATGATGAGAATACTTTGATCTGAAGAGAGTCAGTGATGCATATGTAAGTAAAAGGGAAGCTTTTTATGCCCCAGAGCATGCTGAGTGTTTTAAGAGCTACACAGTTTTTCAGTATGTCAGTGCCTTTATCACTTTGTGTTCTAACTAGTGTCATAGTCTCCCACAAGTAGAGAAGTAGGAACTCAGGAAAGGAAGATATCTCTTAAGGCTCCAACTTTAGAGACCTCAACAACTTCTCCTGCTGCCCCTTCCTTTTCTGCTGTAAGAAGAATCAGGTGGCCCAGAGAGAGGAAAGGAGGAAGGAAGGGATGGATTTGATAGTTTGTCTCTCTCTGCTGCCTCTCCATTGCTCAGTTCTCTCTGTCCCTCTTCACCAGAGTGGTCTAACTCAGTTTGGTCTAAATTCTGTTTGGATTTTGATAAGAAAATGAAAGAATAGGTATGGGACTGAATCAACTCCGTGGGGTGTGATCTATATTGTTACTGGGGAAAAAAATGCTACCAGAACTTCTAGTGCAGGGTACACATATATATGCAAAAGATCATTCTCATGCCTTTATAGGATAGAGACCTTTCTGTGGTCAAGATGGGGCAAGCCAAACTCAGTCACATGACTCTTCTTTCTTCATGTACCTAAACAAATCTCATGGAGATAGATCTCATTGATATAACCAGCTCATTTGTTCAGAGAGCGCTACTTCTACAAAATGCATTTGATGTAGTTGAGACTCTCTAGGTTTCATTCATGTGCTGTTCTGCCAACTCGCTGTACAGCACTAAAAATGACCCAAACTCCATTTCTATTGTATTTTCACCTGTTATATTAAGGTTCTTTGGACACACATCATTCGAGTGCAGCTCCCCCCACCCTAAGATATTGACAAGTTAATACCTATACTTGTAAGGAAGGATAAATAAGGTTGATGTGTTTAAATAGCTGAAGATAGATTTAGAAAAGCCAGTTCAGATCAACTTAAGATTCCATAGACACTTAGGAGCTCAAATGAATTTGCAAGCAGGATTAAGGAATAAAGAGTATTGTTAATCATAATAATACTTGGTATCACCATGAGGACAGAAGGATCCCATCTCTAAGGTTCTGTTCATATTTAATGCATCCTGTTAAGGAGCATATTCTGTCATTTCATATCCTCACATGCTGCATTTTAACCAAGATTTTTGGCTTAACTATGGCATCTGAATCCAAAAACATCATTTGGGGGTTTGTTGAATTGATTATCAACAATAAATACTTGATGCAAATAGTTTGCATAATCCCTTAATTATGACTATTTGGGATCTGGATGACATGGTAAGCTTTGAATCATGGTTAAAATGCAGTATCTCCCATGGCATGAACTAGAGCCATGCTCATTTACCAAGCTCAGTTTTGTGTGTCCTATGAACACAACCTTGAAATCATGGTATTTACTTCTAGCCTTCTTTAAAGCAGTCTTCCTTTAAATGTCTCAAAATACAACTCACAATTTTTTTTGACCATGCTGCCTGAGAATTCTAGAAGATGTAGCCCCAACCCATTTGCAGCTCACCACTTTGGCAAAAACTGTGCTTAAGTTGTTTGAAACTTTTTTCACAGGATACTCATCTGCAATTTTTAGACCATGTTCTGACAAACAGAGTCAAGAGTATTCAGCTTATATTTGAAAGAAGCACAGGAACTCTCATAGACAAAAGGTATGTTATATATACAATTAATATATTGTGTTTTGTTTTTTTCAAAGGCTAAATTAGTGAGCAAGACATCTGGCATTTCAGAGTTGGCATTAACCAAAGCCAGTGCCCATAGTGATTAAGTGCCATCAAGTCAGTGTTGACTTTCTCAAAAATGATCTGTCCTCAATCTGGCCTTTTAAGTCTCTCAATAGTGAATTAATTACTATTGTAATTCAGTCCATCCAATTTGCTACTGATCGTCCTCTCTCCCTCTACTTTTTTTCAGCATTATGGACTTCTCAAGGAAGCTGGATCTTCACATAATGTGTCTAAAATATGATAGTTGAGCCTGGTCACTTGTGCCTCAAGTGAGAACTCTGGATTGATTTGTTTTGTGGTCCATTGTTTGTCTTCCTGGCTATACATGGTATTCTGAAGTCTTCTCCAACATCAAAGTGTTAATACTCTATTTTGCTTCTTCAAAATGCAGTTTTCACATTCATAGAATTTCACAGGGAAAACCAGTGCCTGCATCATTCTAATCTTTGTAGGTATGGACACATCTTAGCATCCAAATATCTTCAGGATCTTCATTGCTATCCTTCCAAGTGGTACTATGGCATATTTCTTGACTGCTGCTTCTTTATTGTTGATAGTCAATCCTAAAAAGCAAAAGTCATCCAGGACTTCAGAATCTTCATTGTCAATTCAAAGGCTTTTTCCTGTGCTAGCTGTCATTGGTTTGGTCATCTTAATATTTAATCTTAATCCCATTTCTTTCCTGCTTCTTGACTTTAATTACCACAGCTTACAAATCATTTGTAGTTTCAAAGTAGAATCATCACCATACCAAAGGTTATTAATGTTTCATCCTTCAGTTTTAAACCATGCTCATCTTCTACCAATACAGCTTCCCTCAAATATATTCAGCGTACAGGTTGAAGAAATAAGGAGAGAGTATACAGCCTTGTCCCGCTCCTTTGTCCACTCAGAACCAGTCTGTTTCTGTGATGGAATGTGAAGGTGGCCTTGGAAGATGGGAAAGAGATGCTGCCTAGGGAATTATCAGATAAAAGAGAAAGGAGTCTGCAACAGGGTAATGGTCAAAGAAAGAAACTTAGGAAAGACCTGCCCTAACTACTCAGGTGGTAAATAGGGAGGGCGGGAGATTTGTGCTTTCAGACTTGCAAGATTGATGTCAGCCCTCCCGGGTAAACCAGACAGGAA